CACCTAAAGAGACACACACACACACACACACACACACACACACACACACACACACACACACACACACACACACACACACACACACGGGTACAAAGACGCACGGTGCACAGTTACGCCCCATGCACCAGTACAAACTGCTGTCCCGAAAAAGTAAGAGGGCTCCCATACCCTCACCTCCTCATTCTTTGCACAATCAGCAGGAAGGCTACATAACAGAGCCTTGGTCCAAGAGACAAATCTCACTTAACAGCAGATAGAAGTAGGAGAGGGTATCTTTCTTCACTGTTTTCTTGTAGGGGCCCCGAATACAGCCAGTTCTTGCTCCATCGAATCTCTTGATGACAACTGCTCACCCTTTACCCAGCGAGGGAGGGACAGGGAAGGAAAAATGGAAAGCAGTTGTAACCAGACCCCCGAGCCTCCGAAGCCCTCAGACTGTTCTGGCCCCTGTTGTGGCTGAGGTTCCCACATGGGCCAGTGACGAAAGAGCATCTGGCGGTGGGCCAGATCACTCCTACTGCTGTTGGAGAGGAAATTTGGGAGAACCAGAGCGTGGTCCGGGAATAAACAGAATGAGAGGAGGAGAGAGGGGGGAGGGGCGATATTGGCGAGACAAATCTCAACGGTACAGTAGCTCCAGCCCAACAGCAAGCATAGACCATCGGAGCACTCCGTCATTTTATGATAACTTCCCTGGACTTGGAACCGCTGACCACATCCAAGACGTTTTTGAGATGGAATCAAGCTTCCAGGAGCACTTCCAGGATCACATGTGGGCTCCTGAGATGGGAACGGATGAACAGAGTGACCCTTGGTCAGAAAGTAGTTCAGACACTCAGAACCAAGAAATTGGGAATGAGCTGGAGCCTGAGATGGACTCTGTATCCTGTGGATTTGTCGAAAGGGACCAGATGCTGCAGTTCCAACAGTCTAATTCACCCCAGCCACACCACCAGGCGTCATGGACCCAAAATGAGGTCCAGCACCCGCAGCGGACTCAGTGGGCTCCCAAGGTGCCCCCTCCTCCACCACTCGCCGACCCCTCTGCCAGTGCACTTCGCAGCCTTCTCACCAACCTCCAGCAGCAAATCGTCAGACAACATGAAGTGTATGAGGCCCGAATTCTCAGGTAATTTTTACAATTTTTCTTTAAATCAATAAATAAATCCAAATGTCAGCGTGTTTCCACAAAGTGTAGTATTGGTGCATTTCTTGAGAATTACATTTTGTCTAAGTGTGCAGGATCCAGTCACCCTGCATCCTATTTAGCTCTAAACTGTTCTTCATCTACTTTAGCCAACCATTACCTTTATAAACAATAGGAAAATATATATAAATAATTTTAAAAAATAGAACTGATCTTTCATGAGCCTACTGAGCACATACATTTTTGAGTCAGTAATTCAAACCCCAATTCCAATGAAGTTGGGACGTTGTGTAAAAGGTAAATAAAAACAGAATACAATGATTTGCAAATCATGTTCAACCGATTCATTGAATACACGATAAAGACAAGATATTTAATATTCAAACTGATGAACACATATTGCCTCATTTTGAAATTGATGACTAACATGTTCCAAAAAAGCAGGGACAGGGGAACCAAAAGACTGGGAAAGATGAGGAATGCTCAATCAGCTGTTTGGAACATCAAAGGTAAAAGGGTTAAATGGAAACAGGTCAAAGAGGAAAACGACCAACCGGGCACCAGCACACAGTTCAAAAGGCAGCGTCTGTGATCTTGTGGGGGCGTGTGATTGTCAATGGCATGCATAACTTTCACACGTGTGAAGCCACCATGAATGTTGAAAAGTTTGTGGAGCAACATGGGCTACTTTCCAAGCAATGTCTTTTTCAGAGACATCCCAGCTTGTTTCAGCAAGACAACACCAATCCGCATTCTGCACGTTACAGCAACGTTGCTTCAAAGTAAAAGAGTGTGAGTAATGGAATGGCCAGCCAACAGTCCAGACCTGTCTCCCATTGAAAATGTGGTGCATCACGAAGTGCAAAATACCACAATGGACACACAAAGCTTCAATAACTAGTGCCCTCAATTCCCAAATACTTGTTGCAAAATAATTGTTGCTAAAAGGAAAGGTGATGTAACAGAGTGGTAAACAAGCCCCTGTCCCATGCTTTTTTTTGGAATGTATTGCAGGCATCACATTCAAAATGAGTGTCTCTTTCCAAACGAAATAGTATCAGTTTGAGCATTAAATATCTTGTCATTTTGAGGTTACATACGAAGGTAACATTTAGATTTTATTTCAACAAAGAAATGGATAATCCATGATAATTTAGATTGATTAAAATTGATTATAAAGGAATGAATGTATTAAAATAAACTACAATATTACACAAACATTTGCAATTATTATTATTATTACCGGTATTATTTTTTGCTACATACTATCCATTTCAAAACTTAAATAAGTCCTTGAGCACAAAAGTTCTATTAGCCCTCCCTGCATTATGACTCATGCGGGTTGAGTTCCGCATTAAGATACTCTTAAATCTATTAGACTCTGTCTGTGAATGCCTTACACTTCATCTGCACTTTAATATTTTCATGAACTTAATTGGAATAGGATCTGTAGTGGTTGATCTATGGAAAATCTCTAGCACATGGCACAATGAGGGTGTGGTGTGCTAATTTAAGAGGCCATGCTGCTGACTTAGTCCCAACACATACCTTTTTTACTAATATAGATGGAGGAAGGCTAGCCAAAAGGTCATGCAACAACAAGGACTAAAAACAAGGAGCCCGACAACACTTTTCACCAAAATGAAAAAAAAATGAGAAGAAAAAATGAGAAGAAAAAGAGGGTTCAATTTGGGGTATGTCGAAGGCCTTGGCACTGATTAATTTCTCACTTCTAAAATGGCATGTTAATCCTGGCACTACTGGGTAGTTAATTTCAAATTAAACGTTTGGGGTACGGTTCTTGCATTGGTATGAAATGCAGCACCATCTAGCTTTATGAGCTTTATAGCTCTAAGAGATAATGTCAAGCGAATCATCACCAAGATAAAACCTTTGCTAAATCTACGTGCAATGTTTTAATTACCATTGTAACGTTCCAAATAGTCACGCAAGTGTAATGATGATTAAGAACTGTAGAATAAGACTGACATTAAATTATATTGCCCCCTTGTGGATTTTTTGCTCGAATGACCTTTTGTTGTGCAACGTATACAGGCCTGCATTGGGTTTTGTATGTACAATTTTTATACTTTTATAATTGTGTTAAACATATTGAACTGAGTAGCCAGACCCTCTTCTACTTCAGCTGCGGTCTGTCCTACACAGGCCTCCGTCACAATTCAACAAATCAATAGGGGGCAACATAAGTTGATGCTTATAATAAAGCTTGACATATTGTACAATTTTACATATCGTACAATGCAAATTGCTTACTTTAGCTTTTAAAAGGAGGCAGCAACTTCAATCCGAAGCCTAAACGGACAAATCAGCCAAAGTCAAACAGATTTGACATTGACATTTGCCACAAAATACATATTTGAGATGATTCAACTTGAACTAAATAGAGCAAACAAAAGGGTTGGAAACAAATTACACTAAACTTATGGAATTTAGGCTGATGATGAAAATGATGATACATTGTGCTTAAAATAAACCCAAGGGCGTACAACTATAGACGCTGATCAGCGTTTCCACAATTACCTACAACACTTAATTCTTCCAGTTCCCATGTTTTGTGGTTTTATGTCCTGTTTTTATATATTTCTCTTATGTATTTTAAATTGTATTTCCTCATTGTCCGTACAGTGTCCTTGGGTGACATGAAAGGCGCTTTTAAATAAAATGAATTATTATTATTATGATTATTATTATTAACTTATATAAGATGCTTACCATCATGCCACAGTGGATTGCACTCCGCTGATTTAAATAAAGGAGCTGGTCAAAGGCAAAAATGCCAGGGTCTATTTTTTTGTACCTAGCTAACCCCGTGTCAGTTACTCAAGGATTTTCAACATTTGTGGCAGGACTCGGCCCCATGCAAATAGCAGTGGTTCCCTGAAAAGTTAATAAATCACACTTATTTTGGCCGAATTATTTTTTTCATAACATTTTAGTGAACTCCAAATTGTTTGACTTTGGAGGTTTCACTGTACCAAAACAAAACAACTATCTCCCAAATACGAATGACCTGAGCATTTTCCTGTCTTGAATCATATGTGTTGTCTTCCCAATCAATGTACATGTTTACTCTCAGCCTAGAGGAGAGAAACAAGGAGCTGCAGGCGGAGGTTGTTGTCTTGAAAACCAACCTGTTACGGCAGCGTCACTGGTACCAGGTGGTGCAAGAACAAATAACACAATCCGAAAGAGAGCGGGCTGCCGCGGAGCGGCGCAACTCAGCATTGCAGGAAGACATGGAACAGTTCTTCGACACTTTTGGTGACCTTAACAACGAGGCGAAGAAGACAGAACACATTATTGGGAGTTTTTGAGAAAGTAAAGACTGTACTAAGCGACTTCATAAAGAATAAGAACACAATAAGATGCTGTATAGTACTTTATCTCTCCCTCGACAGAACATTCCCTTTCCTCTTTTGGGAAAGTGATGTATGAGTAATGAGTACTTTATGAGGAATCTGAAAGGTACAGAAATGAAACCTACGCACGTTTGACAATTGTATGAGCTACATTAGCCGAATACTTAATGTTCTCAGGAGAATTTAGTTAAAAATCATAATCCACGTCCTCAGATACTTTCAGTGGTAATTTGGGTTAGAGCATAGCATTTTTAAAACATTCATAAAATAACGTAACTTTTCAAAGCCCCCAAATGTGTTTTGGATTTTTCCTCATACTTGCAGCAAGTATGACATCCTACTAAATTCTCCAGAGAATGGGTTCCTGAATGATAATGCAACCTATGTGATTGCACGGGACAAGCAAGTAAAACAATATGCACAGGTGTTTAGAAGAGAAGAACACATGACAAGTACAACACAAAGGGGAAAAGGTGACCTGCCCAGTTCTCAGGTCAATCAAGGTATGAATGAGAGTGAACGGATGCATTTTGAAACAGAGGCATAGCGTACTGCGTCACCGTTTTAGTCCTCAAGTGAGTCAATTTCTGCATAAAGCTTCAAAGTCCATATTCAAAATTTGTCTCCTGGTTGTTTACCAGGCGGAAGTGTTTAATCCACATTCCTATCCTCATTCATCCCCCAGGATCTTTATGTTGTTAAACTAAAATACAGAAGCCCACTGTCAAATGATAATGTAAGAGGGTGCTGTGGAATAACATCTTAATAACCTGCCAAAAACAATGCCAAAAGAAAACAGAACATCTGTCGGTACATCCTTCAGAACCAAAAAACATCAAGCAAGGACTTCAAAGAAGTTGTCTTCCTAATAAAAGGCAATCGCTAAATTGAACACTGAACTGTGTTGTTGTTTTTACTTGTGTCATGGAATGGTATAGTAAGGGAGTTGCGTGGGCGCTGGTTGATGAAACTAAAATGTTGAGGGATGATTGATTGCATGGCCCTCAAAAAGTGCAACATTATGCTAGAACAGAAAAACAAAACATGTATCTTTTGACAAACAAACGCCCACCCCGAGTTTACAGGAGGGAATGTTTCTGTTTGCACAGAACATTATATTATATTTTCTAGAAGAATACCTTATGTAAAATGGTGGGTGATTGCAATAATATACATATCCACAGGCACAAAGAGTTTTTGAAGAAAACACGCAATTTGCAATTAATCCGTTCTACAACCACAATGTGTGTGTGCATCTTTACAGACAGTATATTACATGACGGAATAAAACAATGCAACCACAGCTTTGCCATGCTGTCAGGAATAAATACTCTACAGAATTTCGGTCAGTTGAATGACCGAGCACTTTGCAGAGCGCACCGGCAGAAGATTGCAAGCCAGCGAGAGCATCGAGGGATCAACCTTTGGCTGAGTTTATCAGCACATAAACATCGACTTTAAGCTTTTGTTTGCTTAGGCGAAACATGCATGAGAACAGTTGCGGCCTACAAGTTGATGACAGTAAACCTCTTGTTTCAACATAATATCTGCTACAAAAATAAAACTATTCAAATACAACAATTTCGAAGCCACCACATGTACTCCTGGTAAACCAATGCATGCATCATCCACCAAGTTAGGAAGGTAATGAGTCGCATAGCACACATTTTGATCTTGAAGCAGCAGTCCAAAACTGGTTTGGAAGTGAAAAGGATAAGAAGATCCACAATTTGAAAGGGGAAAAAAATAGGCCAAATTGATGTGAGGATGAGGGGGTAAATGGGGGAAGACAGGTTGCGTTCACTGACTGTCATCCAATGGCCCCGTGAGTGTATCGATGCTGCTGCTGTCTGTGTCCGAGGCCACCGTGTGCTCCGTGGACATCGATGAGATGTCATTGGCCGAGGATGACTGAGAGGCCGAACTGGACACCACATCTGAGGCGTGACACATTGATGGAATGAGTCTTGAGCTTATATCAACGCACCTTGAAATGTATAGTCCCCACAGGATCATACCTGAACAATCCTCTTTCATAACACCATTCTTGTTCCTTTCTTCCCAGTCTATCACCTCTTCATAAATGAGCTCTGAGGAGGGACATAACATGTTTGTCTTTACCATTTAAAAATGTGGCCTTGGGTCAATTAGACATGCGCATATACACCGTATTTTTTAGACAATAGGTCAGACATCTTTTGTAGTTTGGCCTGTCCTATGACTTACACTCGGGTGCGGCAGGTATATGTTATTAACATTAGAGCTCAAACTGGCAACCAATATCCACATTCCCTTGTCATGTTAACTTTTTATGCATTACTGCCACCTTCTTTCCACCGGCGGTAATGCATCCAAAGTATTTACCAAAGTAGTCATGAATTACCGGTACCACCGGTGCTAACTTATCTTTAAAATATGCGAAAGAAGGTGGCGGTAATGCATATCTGTTAACTGCCATAAGAAAGCAGAAGAAGAAATGGAAGCAGAGCAAGAAGAAGACAAAGGCCTCGTCCGTCCCAATACCCACCCTATACGAACAGTCCTCAATCAAGTGTACACTTAGTAGAAAAGCACTTAGTGTTCGAGAGTGCAGGTTGCAAGCGTGTGAAAATTGTAGAATGGGGACAGTGGGTGTTAGGTCATTGACTTGCGCTATGATGTTGGATTTGCAACATCAAACATGGCGGCAATGGAAATTTAGCTGCTTAAAATGACATTAAAACAGCAGCAAAAAACTATTTGATGGAGATAAAAGGAGCAGGAAATGAAGGAGGATAGTGCACATATAGCTCTCTCTCTCTCTCTCTCTCCACACACACACACACACACACACACACACACACACACACACACTCACACACACACACACACGCACACACACACACACACACACACACACAATCATTCATTAAATGTAATTGTATTAAGTGTGTCGTAATGGTAATTACATTCATTAATAACAATTCAGATAATGGATGGATGGACAATTGAAATTAAATAATATTAAATCAAGTATTTAAAGCGTCTTTCCAAGTCATTGTACAAACTTATTAGACATACAATATACAGACTATAAAATATGTGATACAGGTAATTCGAGACCTACATGTATTTTTTTTTTTTGTTTTGTTTTGTTTTTTGGGCACAAACAGGAATTCCACCAAATGTCGCCATTTTCCTGCTATTTTGGTCAAACATACAATGGATTGTGGGTAATATACTGAGCCCGCATCCATGGGATCGGCTACAGCTCGCCCACGACCAGATGAAGATAGATGACTGGAACTGGTTTGACTTGAACCACATTATTTCATGATCCATGTTTATGTTTGTACACGTTTGACAAATACTGTCAAGTAATTTTGAACTGGTCCACTAGAGGATAGTGTATCCTACCTTTCCACTGCTCGATGCTGTGCTCTCTCTCTTCTAGCTGCTTGTCCGAAATTTGGGGAGGAGGCTGAGGTATAAGAAAGCATACACAAATCACAGAGAGGACACATGTAATCATTGTACTGATAAAGAGCCCAAAATGGAGAGTGGAAGGGGGTCGGGCCTCACCGCGTCGGCCTCAGCGGGGTCATACCACATGTGAATGTAGGGATGATTGAGGGCTTCCTCCACTGAGATGCGGCACTCCGGATCGATGACCAGCATTTTGGACAGCAAGTCTCGAGCTTGACCCGCTGTCACAGCAACGGACAAATAGAACAGTTGCTATGGAAATTATGACATCGCTTGTTTTTATGTGAGCCGAGTTCTCGCAAAAGGCGTTATTTTGTTCGTGAATGTTCAATTGCATCAATATAGTCAAGACTAACAAAAAACAAAAAAGTTTCAACACTGATGAAGACAGCAGCCTCCTACAATGTACAGTAAAACTACATTGTCTCACAAGACGTTTTCTTTTGTGAGAGTGTGCCTTACTCTTGAGCTTGTCGTGTTCCGAGTCCGAGGGAAAGGCCCAGTCGGGGAATAGCTCTGCAAAGCTGACACCTGGATACTGTGGCTTGTTCATCACGTAGTTTCTCACAGTATCCATCAGACGGTTCATAAACTCCAGACTGGGCGTGCCCAAAACCTCAATTACTTTGTTCCACTGGTCAATATCTGGCCAAAATGCTCGTTCGGGAAAATAGATAAATACGGACAACAACAACATTTTGACCACTTGTATAAGATAACGCTATCCAAAACAAGAGTTGTTTAAAATAAGTATATCCTTTTTCAAAACTACATTGATGCTGTCAGAGAGGTATTCATTTCGCAGATGTTCATGAAAGGTAGAGCGCTGTATGGAGGTAGTCATAAATAATATGAACAACCCTCAGCGAGACAGTGAGATACTCAAAATTAATTACTATAACCAAAATAATAAACACAGTTAAATGAATACCTCTCTAACGGTGTCAAGCAAGTGAAGGCAGAAGACTTGATTTGATTATAGTGAGTACGTGGTCATAATGCCATGTCTGCTCGGTGTCCACTGTATGTGAGGAAATGAAGGGAACAAGTAGAAGCAATGGAATCGATCAAACTGATATTTTTTAAACATTGATTCACACAATAAAGGCAAATGTATTTCACAGGGTGTCCACAAAGTGTCTTGTCTAATTTAAAAACATACATAACAAAAGCAATTGATGAGCTATATTGAATGAGATTTGTTGGATGTACAGTACTCAAAAGGTATTAGTTTTAGTTTTTAATCACATTGCATTTGTGTACAGCAGGTGTTGGGAACTCTGCTTCCTCGAGAGCCATTTCCTGCCTGTTTTAGATCCCTCCCTACTCCAACACACCTGATTTCAATTGATCATGTTCGTTTTAGGCTTCTGCAGAGCTTGCTGATGAGGTGATCGTGATGAGATGACCTTTCAGGTTTCAGCCGAAACGAACACGCATAATTTGTGAATATGTGGCTGAGAACATGTGATGATGGAACTTGACCGAGATATGCCAGAGGTGAATATGTACTGTGTGACCAAGTGCAATCAAATTACTATTCTATCACTATTTTTTTTCTATTAGACATGAACTATCATGTGGCACCACAACCAGGCGACCTTCAACCATCCACCATATTACACGGTGCACTCCCACATTGGTGACTACATATATGTGGGATTCTACATCAAACATTCGCAGACCGGTAGATTGTTCCCCAGATATCACTCCCCAAGAGTTCTTCCATGGAATTTTGTTAAAGATGTCATGTATCGTACAAAGATATAGGACATAAGTGATCTAAAGCAACAGATCACGTCGTAGATGGTAGAGGAGGGAGAGGTGGATGTCGATTTTCAGGTGCGGCTGCTGAGGTGGAAGGCATTGACCGATTCATAACATAGCCATGAGCAACATTAATCATCTTCTCACCACTGCCAAACTTTTTATTGACAATGGCAACCGTCGTTTCCAAGGAGATCCCATGGCTTTTTTTTTTTGCCCACAACCACTGTCATTGCTTGCATTGCAGTTTTTGCCACAACCACCACTGGCATTAGCCTTTGTTTTATCAGTCACGATAAATTAAATACGTTTTTAAAACAACTTCAATATCTACTCATTTTGTCATAATTTTCAGATATGTGTCTATTCATTTGCCTTTTGTAATGTTTTTTTTAAATGTAAATACACTTTATGGACAGCTTGTACAGATGACACAGCAATTTCTCCACGCTAAAGGAAAATAACTGCGCTGGAAGAATCTCACGTTGACAAAACTGTCATGGAATGGTGGCAAGCAGTGCAGGATACGGTCAGTGCCTTGGAAGATCACGCCACCTTTCACCATCTCTCCCATGATGCAACCCACAGACCAGATGTCCACTGTAAACATAGCTGATATTACTAACTAGTCACATTTAACATCATCAAGTACAAATGATTCCAACTTAACATGCAGATAGATGGAGAACTGGTTCATGTTTGAAGTTAACGCATAGACACTGAAGTGTTGTATGCTTTTGTCTGTGATGTTAGCTATGCTGTGGTCTGTTGCATTTATCATCACAGCCATCCTCAGGCTGGATTGGTGTCGTCTTTCTGGCCTAGGCAACCACACACAGGCTCCTCTGCTTATCACTTCCCACAGCTGCTGCCAGTGTGCCTCAGAGGTAGGGATGTAGAGCCTCCCAATTTCTCGTTTTGATGATTTTTAGCTTCATGTGTGGCAAATAGCCGCCAACTCATTTCAGTCACACTCAGGATCAAAGAAGCCACATCAGAAGTCTACTTTCAAGTTGGGTTTCATGTTGCCTGCGCGAGAATGCAATACAGCTTTGTCCGAGGGGTTCAAATGACGCACAAAGCACTGTATGCAGTGCTAAAACACTGAATAAACTGCAATCCTTGAACAGTGCCCAGGAGCGATGCTTTCTAATTAATGAAATGATCAAATTGGGTCAACACATTTGCCACCGTTTCATGTCTCAAGACATCTTCGTGGAATAAAGACTACACAGCATCATATAATAGCTTTATTTAAGCAAATTGCCAACGCTTTTTTGAAAAGAAAAAAAAAAGAGTCGCTAGAGGGGTCTGAAAACTCGCTAAATACAGCAAATTATCCATGTTCAATACCACTTAGTCTGTTCAAGGTTGTGGGCTGCTGGAGCCTCTCCCAGCTGACTTCGAGAGAAAGGCAGGCAATACCCTGAACTGGTCGCCAGTCAGTCGCAGGACACATATCGAGACGGACAACCATTGTCACTCACATTCACACCGTCACTGAGCAGGAATAGAACAGTCTTAATCAGTGGCGGATGCTGGTCTGTCAAGGAGGGGAAGCTCAATTTCGGCCTACATCATAAAATGTGTCCGTTTATTTATACGTGGATTCTACTCCGTTCTTTTCAAGAAAATTATCTGTGACCCTGTCATATCAACAAGGCGTCTTTTCCAGGGACTTAACTAGTGTCCTACAACTACAGCAACTACAATGAAAACCCACCAGAAATAAAAGATTAATTTGTCGCTAGTCGTTTTCAACAAAGAGTGTGTCACTCAGATGATTAGAAGTCTCCAGTTCAAGTCAGAAGAGAATGAGAATTGAAAAATGCTCCCACGATGCCTTCACCAAAAGATCGGTGGTGATTGGCTCATTTCGCTGTCAATCAAAAAGAGATTCAGCCTCAGACAGATCATCCAATCATCATGCAGAAAATCTCAGCGTCCGGGCCAGCCCATAAACGCCCACCGTCCATAGACTCCCAGAGACGCTGAGCGGCCGATGGGCGGGACAAAACCAGCATTTATCCAGTGACTCATCTCGTTTCAATGCATTGGGACAACCTACCCTGAACTCTGTAGACGCCTAGCGTCTGCGCGGTAGACACTCAGCGTCCACACAGTTTAAAGCACAGTGAAGCTGCCGGAATGAATGAGAAGAAAGTCGCGTCGTAACCGGTAAAAAGAAGCTGATTCCGGAACAAAAGTTGAACGCGTTGTAACGCATATTTAGTCAATGACATGTACACACAATTGTATGCACACACATGTATTTGATCTCTTATTTTTGGACATTTTAGGGGAAACTGAGCTTCCCTTGCAGTCTAAGAGCAATCGCCTCTGGTCTTAATATATATTTAAATAATAAATGAAATACATGGCCAGTTGGATGTCATCCTGGCTTTCAGATGTTTTAAGCATTGCCCATGATTAATCTTTTAAGGATTGAATGTTTTGAGCATGTCTCTCCAACCTGATGTCCTACTTACCATTCTCCTTATACTTCATGCCCAGAATGACTTCTGGTGCCCTGTAGTATCTGGTCACCACATATGGTGTCATCATGAAGTTGGTGCATGCCGTCCTTGCCAAGCCAAAGTCCAAGATCTTCAGAGTGCAATCTGACTTCACCACAATGTTACTGGGCTTCAAGTCCTGAGCGCACACAGAGGCAAAGCTTACGTCTTCTATCTACATAAACAGACTAAGTCATGGCAATTATTTCTGTGCAGACATCCGCTGAAAATATTTAGCATTTATAGTGATTACATGTCATGGTCACACAAATTCTTAAAAATTTCAATTTTAAACTTATGAATATAATAGAATGGAACGTTAAAATAAAATTACAAAAATGGCTCCTGCTCATGTTTAAGCCACTAAAACACTAAAACATGTAATTTAGCATATACAGTAATCCCTCGTTTTTCACGGTTAATGGGGACCAGAAACCCCCACGAAAGGTGAAAACCCATGAGGTAGAATTTGCCCCGCCCCCTTTTCAGGAATTGTTGTGTATGTGGGTACCAGCATGTTTAAAATGTGTAAACGGTATTTATACTTTACATATTTGAGACAAAGAACAGAACACGTATTTACTTAAATCTTTAATTATAAAACGTTATACAGTAATTAACATTCATCAATATTGCCTTCTGAGAAAGGCGAAGAGATTTGTCTTGGTGGCGGAGAAGGCGGCTCTCACTTGACTCGTACAGGCTTTAGGTTCACTCAGAAACTCCTCTGCTTGAAGCGTTGATGGACGGTGCAGCTGAGGTTTTTAAATTGGAGAAAAACATGGTGATGGGTAGCGCTATGACGTTCACCTCATCTTATTAGTTGAAATAGGTTTAAGGTTTCTTTTTGATCAGACAGGTTTTTTTTTAAGTGAAGAAAAAAAAAACTCTTACCGATATGACAGTTTCGGCTGCCACTTGAGCCTTCATCTGAGCTGCCACTGCTTCCTTGTGTCATGTCTAAAAGAAAAGCTGACCGGGTCGGGAAACCTTCAAAATAAGGCTCCCGGACTCGGTCAAGGCTGCGGACTAACCCCCCACCACCACCACTGAAGCAATGTGTCCCTGTTGATGGTGTCATCTCCATGGAGGGACGAACGGGCCTACATGCTCCCACACACCCTTCCTGGCATTGCTTCAGCGGCCGCAAGAGGTTGGTGCGCAACTTAACTAATTAAAAAAAAAAAGTTATCGCTGACACAAAATAAGTTATCGCGAACACAACACAAATATACAGTATGCGAGACAGTCAACAGCGTGACAAGACACAAGGGAAGGTGCTGGGTGAGGCTGCGATGATGTGCAGCCAATCAGCTCACGGGATAAATCCACTCGTGTTCTCATTGGTCGATGTTGCACTGGGAACCAATCACACGCTTTGAATGAGTGCCGGTGGCATGTACAGTACAGTACATGGAAGTAGAAAGCCTCTGAGGCGTTCCAGATGCAGGGAAACCTTCTCTTGCGTGCATCAACATGAAACAACGCATCTTTCTGCAATATGGCTGTATTTTTATGTATTTATTTTAATGAACACAATATTTTGGAAAAACCCGCAAAGCACTGAAACCGCAAAACAGTAAGCTCGAAGTGGCGAGGGATTACTATATAATTAATACAAAATTTTATGGATTATGCTGGCAATGTGTACAGTGTGTAAAACCTCTCAAGGACAATTCACCATCCATACCCTGTGAATGATACCAGCAGAGTGCAGATGTCTAATGCCACACAGGATCTGATAAAGCAGGTAAGACATTCTCTCATGGTCCAGATCCATGTGGATCACCTGGCACAAGCTGGCATCCATCAGCTCCATCACCAGATATCTGTAAGAAGAAGAAGTAATCCACATAAAATGGCGAAGCTTCAACACAAATGCAATACACAGGGCTCCTGTACATCTCACACTAGATCATTTGTGACTCACAAATGATCTAATTTACAATTTATTCACAAATGTGAGTAAATTGAGACGAGGTCATCTTCATTACTTTAGTATTTATACTTTTTGTGACATTTTTTTTCAATCCTTGTTTTTAATGTAAAATGGCTGTATTGGCTCAATAAAGGTTGGGAACCACTGCTTCAGAGTACAACTCACAGATCTTGGAATTCCTCTAGGGACTTCTGAGGTGTGAATACATTGATCAAACGGATAATCTGCATGAAGAAAGACAAGTCATTACATCAAATTGTGACTCTCACATCATCATCAGGTCTTTCTTTGGATTTTCCAAAAGTTACATTCCCAAAGAGGCAAGGGATGACGTAAGTAAGTCTTACATTTTTGTGGTTGACACATTTCAGCAAAACCAGCTCCCTGTATGCACGTTTCGCATGCGTCTGGTTCTGAAAGGGCCGACACAGCTTTTTCACCGCCACAGAGATGCCCAGGACTGTATCTAGGGCAGAGCTGGTTATGAAGAAGAGAGAACTTGTGTCACGGCCAACAAAGTTGTTTTTTTATTTGCATCCAGGGTCTGCAGCACTTTTATTGTCATTAAACTTTTAAAATGCCCAAGACGTGCAACTACAACAATGAAATGTTGAAGTAGATACTAAGTTATTTCGAGAAGTGCAAGGCAGGAAGATTTTGTGCAAACAAAGACGGAAAAAAGCTAAGCCAGAGAGTGCACAACATGACATTGGGCACGTTAACATGCACAGTTCATTACACAATGATAATTATTCACTTTCATGGTGCTGGTGCTGCCACAGCTCAGCAGGCACATAAACATTAAAAGAGCATCCTAATCTGATCATTATCCACACAGCCGAAACAGGGCTATAAAATCAGGCTTTGTATGGAGTTTGGTGGAGGACATACTTTCTCTGCAAACTTTACACTGGATCCCAGGTTTATGATTCCCTTCGTTTTATCTTTGCTAAGCTAAATGGCTGCTTGGGTTTAAAAAAAAAAAAAAAACCCGAATGAATGAATGAATAAATAAATAAATAAACAAACAAACAAACAAACCGTGTCATTTTGCCCAATATGCCCATCAAACAGTTGAGCCATGATTGGACATGAGCTGAGCCCTTGAGCAACCCTGATGTAAGTTTTTGTTGACAAAAAGTGGCAAAATGAGATGGAAGGATTTTGCTGCTAAATTCATCCATCCATCCATAATTCAGATTGCACAAAAGCAATATTAATCAGAATGTTGAGATAAAAGTGGTAGACATAGGATATACAGTATAATGAAAACTTTTGACTTGACTTCCTTGTTAAGGTTGCCCCAAACAAGGAAATTTAAAATGTTATCTACTTCCCGGCTACAAAATCTCATGTAGTTAAAATACTATAGGTACCAAAATATTAGTTGTACATGATGCAGTTATAGATGACAATGGAATCATATTAATTTTACACATATTCTTGATTTTGTGGCCAGAGTGTATGCTCTCTATGGTTGAATTTTTCCACGTTTCATTTAGGGACTGCCCCTATCCATATTGAAAGCAATAACAATTATTCATTAGCTTTAAAATTAGGGCTGTTCCTATTAAAAAAAAACAAAAAACTCATGAAGTGTCCAGCCAGCCAGCCATGAGAATGAAGAAAAAAAAATCAGCCACACCCTGTTGGAAGTTTTAATTAACGAATGAAATGGCTTGCTTTTACCCCCGATGATGCGCGGCATCCTTTTGTAAAGGCTTTCCAAGAACCGCAAAGCCACTCACCAAACAATACCTTGGGCCCCGGAGCCAATGGCGCGGAGCTGCTGGTAGCGATTGAGCACAGTGAAGGTGGAGTCCCCCACCTGAACACTGTAGAACTGACTTTCAGCCTCACTCATCCTGAGGGACAGTCAGAGGCACCAATGCTGTCTGTGGAGAACACACACACACACACACACACACACACACACACACACACACACACACACACACACACACACACACACACACACACACACACTTCATCACATGTCGCAACACGCTGTTTGGACAAAAGTCTTGAGACCCTGCTATGAATCAATTAGAAAGTGGTGGTTGTAAATAACCACAATGTATCCAGGTATCAGAGTTTGACGTACAAAGTACAGTCAAACCTCGGTTTTCGAACGTTTCGGTTCTCGACCAATTCGGTTTTCGACCAAAAATTTCGAGTTTTTTATGCCTCGGATGACGAACAAATTTCGGTTCTCGATCAAACTGAGCGCACTTGAATGCATCATTTGACTTCTCTCGCCTTCCTTCCACGAGGAAGTGACACTTCCTCGTGTTGCTTTCCATTGTGAGCAGACGTGTTCAGTAAACATTTTTATTTTAAAAAGAGCGTGGTTTCGGTTTTCGAACAATTTCGGTTTTCGAACAGCCTTCTGGAACGGATTATGGATGAAAACCGAGGTTTGACTGTACATGAAATGGGATGAAATGACAAAAAAAAAATGTCAAGGCATAGACAGAAAATCCTAGCAGGCAACAGCTGAAAACGGAGTTTTGTGGAGATCTGTCATCAAATAAATGTTGAACCCATAGGACAGTCTTTGTTGCACTGACTGACTCCCAGAGAGCAGATCTGGCCTTTATATACTCTATACCAGGGGTCCCCAACCGCCGGTCCGCGGACCGGTACCGGTCCGCAGGGCATTTGGTACCGGGCCGCACGAAAGAACTTGCCTTATTTCCGTTTTATTTATTTCGGAATAAGAAATATGTTTTATTTTGAAAAATTACCGGATTCTCTGTTACATCCGTCTGTGTCACGCTTGACTCACGTCAAGGCACACTTCTCGGTCACGTGACCGATAACGCTCATAAACAAAACGCTGAAGCCCGCAAATTGAGTAAAAAAGCTGCTTGGAGATCGCAAATGACGGCGGCCTTAAAAGTACGTTCGAAACAACTGGATCAAAGTTATGGCTGAATACTCTGAGATCGCCACAATAGCACTGTTGCTATTTCCGACATCCTACCTGTGTGAGGTGGGGAGTTTCTGCAGCAACAGCGACTAAAACAAAATTACGAAGTAGACTGGACATAAACCAGACACTTGAGGTGTCATTGTCTCCTATTACCCCGAGATGGGACTGTCTGATTGCAGAAAATCAAGCTCGGGGCTGTGGTGAGTCGTCATTTTCATGCACTTTGAATTTGCGTTGTTTGTTGTATTAATCCGCCACACCTTAAATGCCGGTCCCTGAAAATATTGTCTGACTTAAACCGGTCCGTGGGGCAAAAAAGGTTGGGGACCCCTGCTCTATACTAACGACATCTGGCCAGTCTACAGTCTGACTGGCCATCATGAAGTCGTACTGAAGTGAATATAAAATGTAAAACAAGCGCTGAAACAACATATATGTATTGTACCTAAGAACAAGACTATTGAAATGCTACAATTCATTGCTTCATAGAAAGAGCTTGAATTAATATTGGACACAGCTGAGGTTAGCACGTTAGTGTGGCCCAAGACAACCATTCTCGTTTCTCACCAGCACCTTGCTTGTGGAGGCTCTCAGTCGTACAGGAAAGTTCCATCGTAGAAAGGGTTCCGTCAGTCGTCATCTGTACTTGTGGGTAAAAAACAAAAAAGGACGTTTCGCTTCTCTCACAGCAGCTTCGTCAGCGGTAGACAACTCTGAAGTCTCCGTGAAGACTCCGCAGAGCAATTTCCCAGAGTCTTCACGGAGACTTCAGAGTTGTCTACCGCTGACGAAGCTGCTGTGAGAGAAGCGAAACGTCCTTTTTTGTTTTTTACCCACAAGTACAGATGACGACTGACGGAACCCTTTCTACCACCAGCACCTTGGGAATATTACTTTCCTACCCCCGGACGACTATGTAACTTAAAAGTTGATGATCAACAAAAAAACAACATTCCAATGATAAGGTCAAGCACAAATAAAAATGGCAAGTATCTTTTGAATGATATTGAAACTATAGAGAAAAAAATGACTGCTTCATTTTGGCAGTATACAAAAATAAATGGATGGATGAATCAATCAGTTTTTATTTAGTTGCCGGCGAATCATAACGCGTTGCAAATGCATTTTGGGCAATTCCAGGCATCAAACTTTGTGTGAGCAGTTAGGGGATGACCCCTTTGTGGTCCAGCCTGACTGTCACACTGTGCTTGGAGCAAGAGCCATGCTTACATAAGCTTGATGTGAAAGAAGCAGAGAGCCCCAATCTCAAATGCAAACACATTAAGGCGAATGTGAGCCAGGAGTTTTCTCAGGTCCAACATGGATGACCCCTGACCTCATGAATGAAGGAATGGACAACCATTCCTACAGATGCACTACAATGTTGCAGAAAGTCTTCCCAGAAATGTGAAAGAGACCAAACAACAACAATTACTTTATTTTGCCTTGGTGGAAGACTAATACAGTTGCGTCAGTTTCTCACTCACTGCTTTCATTTGTCCAATTTCAAAGAATCCAACAAACTTATCATGCCAAGTTGTGACCTGGCGAAGGTCAAACCAGGCTGTAGATGAAGCGAGAGGTTCTGGCATATTTGGAGGGGAGAACAGAGGCAGCTGACAGCTTAGTAGTTTTCAAAGTCACCCGGACGGGTATCTCTACAACCCATACTGACACAATCTTGTGAACAAACATAATGGAGACTGTGTCTGTGGGTGGACAAGCAGGATGCATAACAAACAGTCAGATTTCTTTTCCGATTTAACATTTAATATTATTCCAGTGTTTCACAACATGGTTGGTTTTCTACTCTTTTGGCCACTCTTTACATTACTTTCTGATTGCTGCTTTCAAAATACATGCAGGCATGGAAGTAAAAAATGAACATTAAAACATAACATCAGCTGTTGAAGGTTTAGTGTTGCTCTGTTTCCACAACATTACTCAGGGAAAGGGGAGGAAAAATATCCTCATCTGCTCCCTCTCCTGCCTCTGTGGATTTTTCTCATCCAGCTGGCTCTCTCACTAAACACGGGAGGAGAGCCGCTTTTGGTTTTTTTCCAGCATTTAAGGGTCCTAACTATCCTCAGTCCTCATTATTTCCTGAATTTGTCCAATTTCAACAAAAATATCCACAGAGAAGAAAGAAAACACGTGTGGATGGAGGGCTTTCCTCACTTAAAATTTCATAGATAATCACTACCTGTAGGGCTTGGACAAAAAAAAATAATTGCCCTATTCGATCAAATAAAATGGTGTCACCACAGTGATTATATGTTGTTTGGCATTGTTTTTACACCAGATGCCCTTCCTGATGCACCCTACTCATTTTTATCAATAGTGACTGCCCTACCCCCTGTGGTCCAACGGGAATGGAATGTACATCTTTGTCACAGTAGCACTGTCGAATTTCTGCACTGTCACGTAACAAAGACACCTACCGAAATAGTAAAGTGCAATCTGGCACGATTCGACAGTCCACAGGAGTAGGGAAAAAAAATCTTTGAGATAGACAGACAGACAGAGTGCTTTTTAAATGCCAATTTATTTTATTAAGGCGCAAAAAAAATCCAAAACTACATGCCCCTATGCAAAAAAATAATTGCTCCCTGAACCTACTAATGCCTTGAGCCACCTATGGCAGCAATAACTGAAATCAAGTGTTTGCGATAATTAGTGGTGAGTCTTTCGCATCGCTGTGGAGGAATTTTGACCCACTCTTCTTTGCAGAATTCCTTCAACTCCACCACATTGGAAGGTTTTCTAGCATGAATTACCAGTTGAAGGACACACTTGACTACAGCATCTCAATTGGATTCAAATCCAGACTTTGACTTGGCCGCTCCAAACCTTAATTTTGTCTTTTTTAAATTTCAAAGGTGGACTTGCTGGTGTGTTTTGAATCGTTGTCTTGCTGCATGATCTAAGAGCGCTTGCGTTTGAGGGTTGATGTTCTCCATGATTTTCTGGTAGACAGCAGAATTCACTAAACCATCTATCACAGCAACTTGTCTTGGTCCTGAGATAGCAAAGCAGCCACAGACCATCAGACTGCTACCACCATGCTTCACTGTTGGCCTCATCTTCTTTTTGCTATCAAATGCTGTGCCATTTCTACACCAGATGTAAGGGCCCGCACATTTTCCAAAAAATTCAGTTTTTGATTCATCAGTCCACAGAATGTTTTTCCAAAAGTCTTGAGGATTATCAAGATGTCTTTTGGCAAATGTGAGACGAGCCTTTGTGTTCTTCTTGGACAGCAGTGGTTTTCGCCTGGAAACTTTCCCAGGGGTGCCATTTTTGGCCATTTCTTTCTTAGGCCAAACAAAAAAGATAGTGTGTTTCCGGTAACATGAAATTTCAGCATAGAGTCAGTAGGTCGGACAAAGTTTTTTTTTTTTTTTTTTAATCTCCCCCCCCCCATCAAAAATTTAAACAAAATAACCATAAAACATAAAACAAGGAGACATTGAATCCTCCACTCGCTGGCGACGAGAGAGTTGGGTACCCGGCGGCTGGGTGTTAGGTTCCGAAGTCGGCCGGGTCACGATGGCATCGGCGGGGAGAGGTCCCCGACGCCGGCCGCGGCCCGGCCTGGACTAGAGTTGCATGGACTAGGCGGACGGTGCGTCGATGAGCGCGCGGACGCGCGGGTCGGCGAGGTGGGCGGTCGGGGAACCCTGCTGCCACCTATTTAGTTTTTTCCCCGCTCCGGACTCGGGGGGCCGGGGCGCGCTGCCGTCCTCCTCCGCCCTCGGTCTTTACTCGGCCCGTGGTGTTCATCAAATGGTTCGCCGAATTTTTTCGATACATCAATGGATGCTATTTTCTTAACATTACGGTGCGAGCATGCGACTGTAACACAGAAAACACGGTTTAGATTGTCGTCGGAGATTGCGGCCGCCGCCACGATTCAGTGTTGTTGACAGACGACAGGGCAAACGACGCATGCGCTCAACGTGAATATTGCGAGAGTTTGCACCGATGTAAACCCTCTACACAAAAATGTAGAGGGTGGTTTGAAAAAAATGCCGACCGTAAAGTTTTTTTTCGACGTAGAAATTCTCGGTTGGTCGGTTTGTGACAAAACGCCAGGCAATAACCACTTCTGAGGAAGAACATGAACTAAAGAGGGCAAAACAAGGTGAGGACACAGTTAAGTTAAATCACCATTTTTATTCTTTGTTCTTTGATTTTTACTTTGTGCAAAACTCTAATTTTATTGTGCAATAATCTAATTGTGACATGTATTTGTTTCATATTTTGATGCATTTTTATGCTTTAGAAAACATTTATGTCAGAATTTTGGGGGGGCTTGGAACGGATTAGGGCATTTACATGGAAAATGCGTTTCCTTAGAAAATTGTCAAGTTAAGAAATTTCTTCCAGAACCAATTAATTTCGTAAGTAGAGCTACCACTGTATAATAACACTATACAGTGATCCCTCGCTATTTCGCGGTTAGTTTATCGCGGCTTCAGTGCATCGCGGATTTTTTCAGACATATTCATAAAAAAAAAAAATGAAGTCCGCAAAAAGTCCGGGAGAAGCAGCGAAAGTCAGCAGAACAACAGCGAGTCACATAGAGGAACATACACAGTACTACATGTATGTGTTTACTGTATTTTGTTATTCATACACTAACCTAACCTAACTTATACATGTTTGAATCTATTAGTATACAGCATTAAGTAATGTTAATTACGACAAAATTTATTTCTACATGCATGTATACCATTAAATTTGGCCTTATAAATATTTTTTATACTCATACACATGTACATGTACCTATACGGCGGGGGGTCGCTACTTCGTGGATTTTCGTTTATCGCAGGTGGTTTTGGTCCCCATTAACCGCGATAAACGAGGGATTACTGTACTGCAATCATCAACAGTTGAATAAATGCATGTAAATTTAAGTTTGAACTCCTTGAACTTGATCCTCACATTGCAATCTTTTGTTAATACTGTGACCACGGTAGAATCAAAACACCATCATCCACAGCAGGATGAAGCAGACTAGTTTGTACCTCAATAAGTGACACCTGTTTGGGAAAATCCGCTTTTCTTTTTACATTCAAAAACAAGTAGGTGAAATGTGGACCACCAATGTAAAAAAGCAAAAAACAAAAACACAACAGTGATTGACTTTTACCATGCAAACACTTCACACAATTTCCATTTATTTGCCTGTCAACACACGACCAACATCTAAAATATACCCTCTTGCAAATTCACAGTTACATAAGCATATGATTTGGTTATGAGGCCAATGATATGATGCAGAGTGACCTTCACAACACCATCCTCCGCTCCTCATGACTGCTGTCCACTCTGAGTCCAAGCCATGACCACAAGTCAAATTTTGGGGAGGGGTGCGAGTCAGTGAGCTGAGTGGGTGATCAGATTAGCGTTGCCTGAAGGCTCGACATCTCACACTCATGCTGCTGCTGCTGCACATGGGATGCTCTTTAAAATGATGCTTGGTGAAGATGACTTAACACTCGTGCGTGTATGTTACTGACCATGCATAAATGCACGCATTATTCAAATGCGTTGACAGGTCCAAACTTGCCCCCAAATTAGTGTGGAAATGATCCACAGGAGCAGTTGACTACTTGGGGCCGACTGTGGTGGTGGACCGCGCGGGAGGGGGTAGCGTGGGGGTGCTTTTGGGACTATCATGTGACATAACTGGGTGTATACCTGGCTGCTTTTAATTCCCAAACGCCGCGTGCCTGCTCTAAAATACACACACAAGCAATCCTACACGGAGTGTGAAGTCACGCGTGGATGACACACCGCGACCGCCGCAACACAGCTGGCCTTGAGGGTGGCTAAATACGGCCGTAAATCGTCCCGAAAACCGAGAGGCGCCGACGAAGCCGGTATCATAAAGCACCGCTTTCATCAGCGTTCACTAAATTAATGTGGCCTACGCTGTCCGTCAGTTTTCATGGGCAATGCGGTAGTCGTGAAGCCGGGGAGTTGAAGTCAATGCCGGCGGGTTCACGGAGCCTCACCGAGGGGGCGGAAGCGCCGGCGAACGCTTACCTTCTCGCTCCCAGGGTACTCCCGGGCATGGACAAAACGGAGAAACCACCCTGTCCCTTGTTCCGACACGTCCGAGAGTCGAAGAAAAACTTTGGAAGAAAGGCCGCTCGGACTGTCACGACGCGGAGATTCACCAGTTCGCCCGTAGCCGAACTCCCAGCGACAGCGCCGAGTGAGGAGGCGGCGACGTCACAGCAGGCGGCCAAGAGTTGCGTATGATGTCATCGCGCAAGGTGACGTCAACTCCGAGGAACTTGATTGGTTGAATGACTTTATTATGGGCTAAAATGCTTTCCACCAATTTGTCAATTTTATTACCTCATTTATAGATGCTAAAAGATCTCACTGGCCACAATACAGCCGCGCAAAAAAATTAAGAGATCACCATGTTTTCTTCAATTTCTAGTTCATTTTAATGTCTAGTGCCACTAAAAGTGTACTGTATCAAGTGAATAAGTGACACAAACGAAAACACGTAATGCCTAAAAGCACCGTTTTTGTTGTACAAATTCAATGTCATTTCTATTTATGTAAGAACTTTTGAAGCGATTCTGGTCACGATCAATCTCTTAAATTCAATTCTCATTTTTATTCATTACATTTAAAATTAACATTAAACTGTAGAAACAGAGGTACAGTAGTCTATTATTTTTTTTCCACGGCTGTATTTGTTGAAACAAGCCTTTAGAAATCAGAGGGGAAAATGATGCCTCTACATAGATGGTTAAAGTATTGCACCGGAACAAAATTGAGCAATGTTACCCTTTTAAGGTGGTATATCGATAGATTGATAGATAACTTCAGGATCAAACTACAGTACTTCGAATTTAAAGCACGTTTATTTATTTAGAAATGAACAAATGAAATACACGTTTCTGAATACTTTATGTAGGTACTGATTAAAAGATCACAGTTATGTCTGTAAAACGAAAAGGTATGAAACAAAAAAATCAGTTACAAATATAGATCAAACCCTTTTTTGTTTCTAAAATATAAATCAGATAAATCTAGAATATCTTCATTTGTTATAAACTCATACAAATAGCTAAAAAGCTGAAAAATAAACACTGTGATAAAAGTAATGGCATATTGATCAGTTGGTTCTTTTCTGGATGACTCCTTCCATACTACAAATGCAATGACGCACTCAGTGGAATAAACTGAGTGTGCTGCAATTACAATTTTAACATGCTCTGACATAGCATGAAACTAATAGTTGCAAACAATGCTATTCTGCTTAACCCAAGCAACACAAACATACTAAAACGACAATAAACATGAAACAGAATATGACACAAGGGTAAAATCAAGTCAGAATGTGAAAAGTACCTTCTTTTTTTCGTAGGCCCTGCTAAAAAAAATAAAAATAAATATTAAAACCCAGAAGGTACACTAATTGCATTCATGTACAGTACAACATACAGAAGATTTCCGGAGATCTTTGGAATGAAGTTCTGTAACTATTCAATTTCATTGGATGTAGGCTAAGCAAGAGAATGTTAAAAAAAAAAAAAAAAAGTCACAAATGCGTACTTTCATAATGCACATTTAGCCCCCATATTGCACAACTGTAATTTCTTCTACATCGTATTTAATGTGATTATTATGTCTCTTAAAGTGTTTTTGGCTCTTCTGGTGATAAGAAAAAGGCACAGTATGTTGTGATCCATACAAGACCTCAACAGCACAGGACTGGAGCATCCTCATCAGTGTATTGGTCAAACTTCACATTTGTTTGAATAAAAACAAAAAAGTTCCTTGTATGCGGTCCTTTTCATTTGCCTCTTTCACTCACTTCCCATACACACTCGCCTTACATGCAGAAACATACACACACGCGCGCGCGCGCACACACACACACACACACACACACACACACACACACGCACACACACACACACACATATCCATTAAAACATTCTGAAAATGAAATTGCACATTTGCGCTGCAACGCTATGAACGTCCTTCCTGCTCTCCTGTGCTTTGTGACATGAGTTCATTCCACTGTCACAGACTTTGCTAGGTTTCTGGGGCAGTCAACCTGCAAAGAAGCCAAATAATCTTGGATCATTAACAGTCCAGTTTGTTAATATGGAAACATTGTAGGGCATCAGTCAGTACCGTAATTTCTTAGGCTAATACGCACTCTGACATAAAACGCTCCTGCAAAATCACTCTTCGAAAGCTGATTTTGTATTCATGCATGATGCCCGCCACCAATTTGATGGTATCCCTGTTCAAGAATATAAATATTATCTGCATACTAATTTGATAGATTGGGACTTCTCATGTTCAAACACATTTTTGGGGGGTGTAAAGACAAATTCACTTCCCTTGCTAACAGTTTGGGCTGTCAACACTGAGACAGGAATACCGGTAGGTAGGTACCCAGATACAACATGCCCCTTTTGAGCTACATGCTGATGCTGACACTGCGGTAACAGGTCTAAGTCGTGAGTGTATTTTCATGAATGCTGATAGGACATGATTTGAAATTGACAAGTCAACCTCATGAAAATTGTTTGAGAAAGGAGCAAGTTACGACTTAATTTCAATGTCCATGCATTGCATTGATGGGGACGTCAACCTATCAACACAAAGAAAGGAAAGAAGACCTCGCGATGCGTCGATAAGCAGGGGGCGTTGTAAAAATGCCCAGCTTTTTCCCCACTTGTGACGCCGTCATTTATTTACTTCTGTATTTGACAGCTACAAAGCAGTCAAATATAGTCACAAGCTTGCAGCTGGTGTGATGCATTTAGAGTTTAAAGCTGGTGCCAGGGGTGGCCTAATCCTCTGTACAACAACAATACACCACTTGATTTTGGATGATTTTTTTACAAGAGAAAACAAATGCAGCATATTTGAAAATTATAGTATGCACTTAAGATATGTCATGATAGGTTGAACTTCAGATATCTATGATGAGCATGTTGTGGTTGCTGAGTGTAAGTTGCCCACATATTTCACTTACATCATATCCTCGCAGCACTGCCAGGTGGAAGGACAGTAGTTGCAGTGGGATGACACTGAGGATGCCCTGCAGACAGTCGACAGTACGTGGCAGCTCGATGGTCCGGTAAGCATTCATGGTCACCTCAGTGTCGTCCTGGCAACACAGGATGATGGGCCTCCCCTGAATTGCGGGGTGGGGGGGATAGTCATGAACATCATAAATAGTAGTACGTCTCTTTTGTGTAATGCAATTTAATGATCTTTCAAATAATTTCCCTCTTTGTTCTTGGATTAAGATAAGTGGCTTTATTTAAATCATTGCTGACCCTACAAAAAACTGAATTTATTCAGTCATTCTGCTCTGAATATGGTACTTGGAAGAATTTCCCCCTCTAAAATATTCATAATACAATACAATAAACAATCAGCAATATACAAATTCACTATACAGTAAAGATTTTTTTTTCCACCTGTCCTCTGTTATTTGCTGGAAAAAACTATGTTCTGTTATGATTTAAAATACCAAAAGATGGCGCCAAATCCCTGTTTAAATAGAAATGCGTTAATAAAGTACAGTACTGTACTGTTTAGTGGTACGTTGACTTGTGTTTCAAATCATTTTTCCCATTGAAATGAATGGAAATGCCATTTAAAAAACAAATCCAATCATGATATAATGTGTTTTAAGCACCATGGCCTGTCCCCCTTAAGCTTCTCCCCACACTTGAACATAATTAATTTGCATCTAGAGCCCACAAGATGGTGCCAAGCACTTTTATGTTAAAAAGAAACGGTGATTGGCCAGTGCACAAAAACAGCAAGTAATGAGTGTTCCAGCACATAACTGAGATAAGTTCCCCCCTCAAAATTTGTAAACAGGTACATTAGCCAATTGGTGAATATGCGGTGGCACAGTGCAGTTGCGTCGCCGTCCAAGGCTTTAGCACATTAACTTAACAGGTTGACAATTAAAAAAAAAAAAAAGAAGAACGGAATTAAGTCAACTTCGTGTATATTTGGCAACTTGCATTGGCAAGACCCTCCTTCCTTATCATTACATTGAACATTATTTTTACCACATATGAATGTATGTATCACCATTGTATCATAAGTATTAGTATTAACAGTGGTGTAGAACCAACAATATTAAATTATTGCTGAAATATTTTTATAGTTGTGGCAGGGGATTATTTCACTATTTCACATTACAATAAATTGGCAGTTGATTATTGTCCGGAACGGAATATTATAGTAAATTTGCTGTACACTGTGGATTGTTTCCAAGACCTACCGATCTAGCAGTCACTTGTTGTAGGGCGTTTTGACACTTGGTATAGCAGGCATCCTTCATGATGATCATGATGACGGGCATATGTTTGTCAATGAGCGCCAGAGGTCCATGCTTCAACTCGCCTGCCAGGATGCCCTCCGAGTGCATGTAGGTAATTTCTTTGATTTTCTGTTGATAAGTTCAAAATAAAACTGATTCAAAACTTTCCCCAGAGTTAAGAGGAAAACTGCAGAAGGCACATTGCAGTACACAAAGTTATTTACGATTGTGTGTGTGTGTGTGAGGAAAAATGCAGAAGGCACATATGTGTGTGTGTGTGTGTGTGTGTGTGTGTGTGGGCCTTCTCCTCCTGAGGGCCCCACAGAATACTGACACTTTGAAATTAGATGTTAAAACTGCTGAATTGCTGAAATCTAAAGTAAATTAAAAATAATATGTATTTTCATTATAATTTATTCTTATTTCATGTGATACTGGGATGGATGGAGAACAAACTTACCAGTGCCCCCTCCAGACATGTGGCATAATTGAAACCACGGCCCATGACCAGAAGAGACCTCTGCTGGTACAGCTCTTCAGCAATGATCTTTATTTTCTCATCCAGAGACAATACCTTTTTTATCAGATCTAGGACACACAAATTAGTTGTCATGATGACGTGAAATTGAACTTTTACTTCTATAACCATGAATGGTAGTGAATGACTTGTGAGAGTTGCATGTTCTCCCTGTGCGTGCGTGGGATTTCTCTGGGTATTCCGGTTTCCTCCCACATTCAAAAAACATGCATGGGAAGTTAATGGAATACTCTAAATTGTCCTTTTGTGAGCGCAAATTGTTGTTTGTCTCCATGTGCCCTGCGACTGTTTGGCAACCAGTTCAGGGTGTATCCCGCCTACTGCCCGAAGACAGCTGGGATAGGCTCCAGAATGCCAAGGACCCTCGTAAAGGTAAGCGGATTAGAAAGTGGTTGAATGGTGGATGGATATTTTGGTTCTATTAATAGACACTGATTGATTCTGAATTGCTCCAGATGATGTACATAGCACAGTTGCATGCTGTTATATTGCATGTTTGTATAGTGTTGATTGGTTCAGTAACTGCAACGGATAGTTGGATAGTGGTGGTATTTTGGTCTAAAGATGCAGAGGAGGCACTATGGTCCAGTTTACGGATAGTGAAAATCCACGTATAGTTGGTGGCTATTTTAAATGTTTTTTTTATGGAGGGGGGTTTGTCATCATCATTAGTAATAATAATAATAATAATAATAATAATAATAATAATAATAATATTATTATTATTATTATTATACAGTATTACTATTTTTGTTTGGGGTTCTATGTTTGATTTGTATTCATCTACAGCACTTTGAGCTGCGATTGCTTTTTGTGGTACTTTATTCATAAAGTTGTATTGATTTGTATGGATTGAGTTGGCTAAATCTCGACCGAGGGCCCAGGTAGGAAATTCCCATCCCGGCACTAGTTTCGATAATCAGGCCAAGGTGTACCGCTGCTATATATTGCCTCACTCAATTAAGAGCCCAAACGAGCAGAAACTGCCACTGACCACGAAATGGTCAGAAGAATTAAAAACGATTTTGTCACCTCATATTAGTATTATAATGACGAGTAGTCTCGGTGGGGGTTGTGTTGTTACCGGGGAGCTCTCTGAGGCTGTTGATGATCTCCAGTCTTCTCTTCTGTAAGGACAGTCGGTCCTCACTCATCATAAGGCCAAACATGGTGAGGGCTACAAACTGACTGGTGTATGCCTGGATCACACACAGAGGGGCAAAAAAAACATTTAAATTGCAAAAAAAAAAAAAAAAAAGTTTGATCTCAGTCAAGGTGTCGTAGTTGTACCTTGGTGCTCGCAACTCCAATCTCAGGCCCAGCATTAATGTGGACTCCACAGTCTGTTTCTCTGCAAATGGAGCTTCCCACAGTGTTGGTTATGCCCACTGTTAGGGCACCTCGGTCCTTACAGTAACGCAAAGCCATTAGGGTGTCTGCTGTCTCTCCTGATGGTTGGTGCAAAAGAGTTTAGAGTCTCGAAATATCTTTGGAGGCAACCGTCATGAAAGTTTAGTAGGAGTTATTGGTGATGTCACCTGACTGGCTGATGAAGAAACTAACATCATCTCTGAAAACAGGCGTGTTGCGGTCCAGGAAGTCACTCGCCAACTCCACCATGACAGGCAGCTCCGTCAATTCCTCCAGGATTTGTCTGGTCTGAAAAAATTTGTAGGGAAGCTAGCTGAGCACCGCTTTCACCATAAACATGCAAATTTTCTCACAAATGTTTGTCTATCAAGCTAAACCTACAGCGACTGCAGCATGGAAACTAGTACCACAGCCAATTACGATCAGCCGTCTGCAGCGCTTGATTTCTTTTAGGTGGTCCTTCAATCCTCCAAGAACCACTAAGAAAGAGTTAAATGAGATAGTTGCATGACACATATTCTCACAACTATGTGTCCAATAAACAGGTAGCTCTTAATAATATTTTATGGTTACCAGTATTGGAGTCAAAACAAATGCGGCCTCTCATTGTGTTGACCACTGACTCTGGCTGCTCAAAGATCTCTTTCTGCATGAAGGAATCAAAGTTTCCTGGAAAGTGTAGACAATTGCATTAGAATATGCACCGGTATATCACTTCTATATTTGCAAGTGCTGAACATGTAAATATGGCACAGTAGTATGTGTAATTTTATAGGCTAGATACACCGCTATTCACATTTATTTTATGATGAAATCAATACACATGATCATATTTTATGTCATTAATTCTATTTGGGAAATGAAAGAATCCATCACAATTGCTTCCATTTTACAATTGCAGTGTATTGCAGTGACAATTAAGCTATTCTATTTTATTCTATTCCATTTAAGTTAATTGGATTTTATTGTACCGTATTTTCTATATCGCTTATCCTCAGTAGTATTCTATTCTATTCTAGTCTATACATTGGAAAAAAAAATATGGACAACTTGTACCATCTGTTTTCAGCCAGCAGAGGAAAAGCAAGTATAGGATTTTTAAATTTTTTTTGGGGGGGAGGGGGGCGCATTCATTCCAGGAGGCAACTTTGAAGCTGTCCTTAAATTGTTCGCTTTCAAGTGGCTGTCTGACCTTTCATTATCTGTTGGAGCTCCAATTTTAGGGTTTGGATGGCTCGCACAGGATCTTCACCAGCCTGCCGGTTCATCCTGTGGATGGAAAGTTTCCCTCCTCTCACCACGGCAATATCATCATCCTCCAGGTACAATACTTTGTTAGTATGCTCAATAATGGCACTGTGAGTCATAGGGAAAAAACAGTGTTTAGAAAAGGCAAGAGACAAAAATAGGTGATTCAATTTCGATAACATGTACTGTATACTGTACATCTTATAAATACGGAGACAAGAAGGCACACCGGCATTGTTTTGGATAAAGTTTATCACCGAGTTCTCACCTAGCGTCAGAGGCAAAGTAATACTCCACAGCTCTGCCATCCCCTACAGAGTTAATCGTGCCACCAGCGCGGTTATGGTTGTTCTTTTCCTGGATGTCCTCCTTGAAGAGTGCTGTGGGGTCAGAAATCAGAGGTCAAGGGGTCACCTCAGTGTCTTTGAGTTCCTAATACAGATGTGGACATGACAAACTCTTCTTCCGAAGTCTCTGCTGAAATGTACTTTGCTATGTTGTTATTTTATGGTATGATAAGCAAAGCTGCTTTTGATAAATCAGAATGATGTGTTGAACCTTAATTTGGTCTTTAGATTTTTCTGGAGGGCGTCATCACACACATAAAAAAAGATTGAGGTGTGTGATAACTGGGTGTAGTCTATGTCGTTTGTCATCTACACAGTACAAAGATATTTTGAACAGAGGGCAAGAGGCACTAAAAGTCTTTCTTTACAACCATTAAATTGACACACCCAGGCTTCCTTTGTCATCACCCATGACAACAACAGTAACTGCATTGCACTTTGGACTGGTCTCACTTGCTCCTTTGAGAAACCATAAATCTTTCATGAAACAACAGCTGAGACAATTTTGTCTCTGTGTAGATAAAACAGGCAAATCGAAAGGGCAAAAGGAAATAAAGTTACACGTGTTGTTAATGTATCAGCAATCTTTTTCAGTTCATTTTACTTGAAGCACTTCTTACACTAATAAGCACACTTCATAGGAAGCTTCTGAATAGTTTTCCTGGAGACGCTTCCTGAAAATACTTGGCAGCTCACAAACGTTCACAAGAAAGGATTTTTGAAGAAGGCTTTGCAATGTATTATTGTACAATAGCACCCCAAATTCACAGCAAGATTCCTTCCAAAAGACAGCCTCTGTCGGAAGAGCTAAAGTGCATTTGGCATTCAGTGATTGAGAAACCAACAATGTAGAAGAAGTGACATTTACAGGAATGTTATTAATATTGGGCAGCAATACCATATGTCCTGTGCACTTGGTGTCAGTCACAAGACACACAACTACTCGCATTCATAGCGACGGACATATATGTTTTTGCATAGTGCGAGAAAAGTGACACAGAAAAGCCATATCAGATGTCTGTTATTATTTATCCCTCTATTAAAATGCAAGTTCAGTCTTGTCCAACAGTACATTCCTTTTTTTCCACGTTGCCCAACATTTGAAGTGTTAGTAACTAACTGTGTCGGGTGTTAAAATGCATTTGGTTTTGGTATTTCTACCTTACACTGTCTTTAACGTTAAAACACCAAGGCAAGTACTTAATATAAAACAGATGATGTGAACTCAAGTTTCCAAATTCATTTACATCTTTGTGATACAAAAAAAAAAAAGATTTATATACAGCTCCACGTTGCTGATGAAAGTTACTCAACTGCAAGATTGTAATTGTGGTCATACTCAATATATTTTATATTTTAATACATTCTTGTCTTAGATGTCTTGTGTACATTTATAATGTAGTACATGTTATGTATGTGATTGGCGTGTGCTATGGCTGTTATGGGTGTACCAAAATGACATTGATTAGTGTGATTTGCGGAAGAGTATCAGTAATAAAAGAGGTAGGCACTTTCTTAGTATTACACCTCTTACCGTACTTGAGGAAACAGCCATTACTGTAATTGGAAGTGGGGAGCCATGAGGCAGATGGTAATTGCAATTAGGCAGCAAAAGTGAGGAAGCCTACTTACCACCCTTGTACTGGACAGGAATGTGTTCAGTTGACAGCTCGTGTTCGCTTCGTACGCCAATAAGCAACGGACTTCCTCTTCTGATCACATTGAGGAGGTGGGAGAAACGGTAAGTTCATGGTTGATAAGTTCACAACAATTTAAGATGCTGTACAGTGTTGACACGTTTTGGTTAGAGGGATACTGATGCACTCTCACAATCCTGTTCAATTTTTATTCGTCTTCACAAGAAGTCTCATGAATAAATGTGAATGACTACATCACAGCTTCTCTCCTTACTCCCGCAAATATTTTCAACATCGCAATGCTTGAACACGATCCCACAGATTTGATTGCCTACTATAGGGGTGCCCATTACGTCGATTGCGGTTGACCAGTAGATCGCGGACTGGTCCCAAGTCGATCGCGAGGGGTGTAGAGGAGAAAAAAAAAAACAAACAACCATTTGTGTCTTTGTGCATGTTAGTAATATATTTTTTGTGTTAATGTAGACTGCACCCTAATCATCCTATCAGTCTCGTTTTACAAAAAGTATTAAAAAAAATAAATAAAGCAGGTAAATCTTTAACCTATAGTGGCGAGTGACCTGCATCACCGGAAGTTGTTAGCGCTCAGCAGTCTGCAGTTGCAGCTTGTGATCATAGCTGTTGCGCTATATCTTTCATCTTTATCATTATTCTCATTCAGAGTTGGTTTCATGTACAATTCACGGAGGGCATGGGCAAAGAATAGGAATCTAGAGGACCGAGAGAAGCACTTTAAAACTGTACATGCGAGCTACGATAGTTAACAGGCTGCAAAAGTGTGTCGCATGCCTCCGTGTCAGGCTGTTGCTCATCATGGCGTGCGTGTGTGTGCGCGTGCGCGGTAACGGGTCGATCGCGGGAAGTTTGTTGATCGAAAAGTCGATCTTTGGTCCAAAAAGTTTGGGCACCCTTGGCCTACTACTTCATTTGAGTTTCTGATTGGAGATGGAGGCAACTAAAGCGCAACAACATTTGAAAGGTTTGTTTGACTTAATCAAACAAAAGATTTCAATCAAACCTCTTCATGCCAAGCAGGTTATTCAGAGAGAAATACTGAGGGCCTCTCCTTCGCACAAACATTATTTGTATGGCTGGATCTCTCTTTTCTCTCCAAGTTAAGTTTTCTCTGGGGCTCGGCTCCAGTGACGCAAGGCCACTGGTTGTCTTAAGGGGCGTGGGGCTTGAAGTAAGGCTTGCAAACAGAAACATGTGGTCGCTATCCAGTACAATATTTACCCTGAGGGAGGGAAAAGACAAGAGAAAGAGGGGAAGCAAATGGACGAGAGAAAAGTGAGACGTGTGAGTAGGGAGACAGTGGCGTAAGATAAAGTCAAAACAAGAGCAACCGAAAAGTCATGAAAGCTGATCCTTTTGGACTACAACAACAATAGCCCAGTGTCAGTATACAAATATTCTTGCATTCATACTCGCTGTTAAAACATATTTGTATCAACTATGCTCTCTCTTTGGCGAATTACCTCTGGACAATTGAAATTCTACTTGACTTTTCTTGTATTTTTAAAGTGAGATACGCCAAACTAAGAAATGAATTAGAGAACAAACGCTAATAGGACATCGCAGCATGCCATAGCGATCCCTGGACACCATGCAAACATAGGGATGACATGACATCATTGCTGCCTAAAGCTGCTTTCTTTTCCAAGTCTAATGTTAAGACACAGAACCCTTGTGTTTGGCATGTGGAAAGTAAAGGCTGCTCAAACAAAAACGCTCTTCATGCTGGTAAACAGGCGGAGGAGTAGTCCTAATAAAAACTAGCAAAGGCTGGTTTCATCAGATCTCGTGTTAATAATTATTATGATAATGGTGATTGGACTTATGTAATGCCACGGGATCTAATGATGTATGGGCGCTGTTGATAAGATGAAATGCTGAAAAAAGTCAGTATGCTAAAGTGGGTTTAAAAAACCCCCGCTTTCTTCACATTTGCTTAGTCAGTATGACTTCACAACAGTACATGATAAAAATGATCATTAAAAGTAAAAAAAAATAAATTGACTCTTGCCCCTTGTGCCTCTTTGATAGAAAAGAAACCACTGCTTCCAAGGAAAAAAAAACACCTCTCATCGGCAAAAGGCGTGACTTAAGAGGCTTCAGTAATTTGTCGTGCATGTATATGCACAGTCATCGTGGGCGCAACCGCGGGGGCTCATAAAAAATTAAAATCACAAGCTGATAACGTTTAGTGTTACGGTAAAAAGCCATTGTGAATAAGGTGCTTTTCTGGAGTAAAAGGTCTATAGCGCTAGCAGGACAGATTTTTTTTCCACAGGACATATTCAAAAACTTCCCCTGAAGGATTGGAAATTATGAATATTTCACAGCATAGCACATCGATACCTAGCTACTGTGCAAATATCCCCCCCGGGGGACTGCATGAGAATGACTTTAGAGCAACGTGACTGGAGATTATATACACAACTACAGAAGAACAATAGATGAATTGGATGATAAGAAATTTTGTTGCTGGTTCAAGGTCATAGCAACACTGGTTACTGGCCATATATCTCATTTTATGTGCATTTGCACCCTCTTTTTTTTTTTTTTTATTAATTCCGCTTTGCTCATGCAGTCATTTGCCTCTCCCTGTTCTATAAGGGATAAAATGGAGCAGGAAATATATAAAGTCAAATAAAACGTAGGGAGTGATAAACCAGGAGTCATGCTGGCAAGGTCTGAAACAGGAAACTGTCGGATAATGAGTCACAGAAACGCAGGCAGATGGCCAGCTACGCAGAGGCTGCCAAAGAAATAAGGAGGTCAGGCCTCAGCGAGAAGGAGACCAAAGGCGAGAGAAGAGGGGCCAGGAGGGAGGACGGTGCAAAGCTCAGGAGAAAGAAGGGAGGCCATGCGCAGGAGGGAGAAGGAGGTCGAAGGCCCATATGAAAGAGGCCAGGCTGGGCAGCAGAAGGAATAAACCACTGCATCCTATCTGTCAGGGCCTTAAGCGAATGACACATGCAGTCGCATGTGATTTGAGAAGCATTTACACAATTAGAAACAGTACATGAAAATTATAGCACGCACAAAACAACCTTATCGCATAATTGCTAAAACAAAGACCACTGAGTATGTGAAAGGGCAACGATGAATCAGATGGATGATTGCTTCACAGGGATGACTCAGCTCAATCTCGTGTATCCCCTGGACCATATGTTCAAGACCACACAGCGAAAGGTCTGAGTATGCGTTTGTGTGTGTTAGCGTGAAAACTAACCTGGCAACCACGGCCTCTCCAGGGAAATGGCGACTTTTAAAAACCAGAGCAAAGGCCCCCTCCTGAGACAAAAGGAAGAGAAAACTCACGAGTTTGAAGTTACTCAATATTTTCAATCATTCATCATCAAGTTTCTGATGTACAGTACAGTATTCCTAATTTGGGCACAGTGACCCAAAAATGTTTCCCCAAAAGAGTTATGGTGAAATAATGGGAAAGACATGGGGTCTTTGTTGGAGGTAAAAGAGAACCAGGACTTCTATTGCGCAACATCTGCTGTGTTTCGAAAGCACTGTGGTGGATAGACGTCGAACTGGCTGAGTATGCGTGGATATGTGGTTTGGACAGCGAGGGGCGGGTCGGGTATGTTTTGTCATGGTCATATGGCAGTCTGTGGGTTCTCACTGTCTGGTTCACATTACTCCACAAAACAAAGTTGTGCAAAAGGCATCAATGTACAACCCGCTCACACCCAAAATTCATACAGTGGAAAATAAACTCTTGATCTACCAAATCATCTACAGCAAGTGATGATGCTATCCGTGATGCTTTCAGTGCGGTCACCACGGAGACCGTTCTGTGATGGTCCACTGTGTTTTAAACAGACAGGAAATTGAAATGTACGGTAGAATGACTAATGGGTGGGACCAAACAAAAACACACTTCGTGAAACCTAGAGACACTGTGACGTCACTTGTGAGGGGCCATAATTCAGGATTACCACTCATATACACGAATGAAGCGCTCTCATGGATACTGCTGAAACACTCTCTGACAATATTTGGATTTTTTTTTTGCACAATTTTGCCCCACTCACATACACAAGTCAACACACACACACACACACACACACACACACACACACACACACACACACACACACACACACACACACACACACACACGCACACGCGCACACACGCACACACACACACACACACACGCACGCTACTAAAACACTCACATACTGCTGAAACACACACTCTTTTTTTTCTCAAATAAAGTCATCACACACAGACAACTGAATGTTTTTTTTTCCTCACATTCAATAGTGAGATGTTCTCACAACTACTAAAACACTCTGATGTACACAATTGAAATTCAATTAAACACAAGGTCTGATAAACACTCACATTTACTAGTGAAATTCTCACACACACTACTGAAACACTCTTACGCACAACTCAAACAAGTCTCACACTCAACTCTTATTTTTTGGGTCACTTACTAGTCAAAATCTCTTACGGACACAAGTAAACACTCTTACACAAGTAAAATGCTCTCATTCACACCTGCGTTTAGTATATTTGTGTTAGCGGATTTTAATAAATTCTGCGAAAATATTTTTAGCCTCATACAGACAAGGTAAACACTCCTACATTAATGAAAAGCTCATCCTTTGCTGAAATCCTTTTCACACATGCATTCCCTATACAGGTATACTGAAGTACGCATCGCAGTAGCACGCCTGAGCGTATTCCACTTGTATATGTAAGTGCTTTTCACTTATGTTTATAAAAGCATTTCACTAATGTGGGAGAGCGTTTCATTTGTGAATGCCATATTCAACATCATTCAAATGTGCATTTGATTAGTGTGTATTATTTCCCTGACAGCTCCTCATATCGTCACCTGTCGGTGTGCAACCAGATAAAAAAAGTCCACCTCACAACACAAAGACAGGGAATAACGACCACAATGAAGTAAATGCCACTCACCAGCTGATGAATGACCCTCTCCACCAGCGTGGAGAAACTGATGCTGTCAAATTCCCGATTGTCGTAAATGTATTTGATCAACTTCGGGATCACTTCTGTGTCTGTCTCGGACTCAAACGCATATCCCTTGGTGATCTGAGGATGTTAAGAGGCATGATATACATTTGTTTTTTTTTGGGGGGGGGTGGGGGGGGGGGGATAAAGATCACTGAAATGGACAGCAACCATACAGTATATTATTTATTCGGGCAACATGAGCCTGACATTAAGAGCACTATTTTCATGCCCAGTCTAATGGCGTAATTTTGAACGATTCAGTGGGTTTGATGCCCGCTGTTCACATATTTATTAATAAAACACATTGCGTTAGACCAGCTGCAACTACAGCATCAGCAACACTTTTTTTGTTGTTGATATTTTATCAAATTGGCTCTGTAAACACATTATGTATTTAATAAAATACGCATGTAATGTTAAGATGCAGTACAGGCAAATCACTGCCCCGAATAATACTGAGAAGTGGTTTGAATATTTAATTTTTTTTCCCAGATGAAAGTAAAACATGCATTTACTGTTGATCGGAGTCTAATTGATTACTGCGTGTTAGATCTTGGAAATAATGGACATTGTGGATACATGGGAGATTTCTACATCTTAAATATGCCCCCATAAAACATGAACTTACCAGATAGGACTTCAGCTCCTTGTAGTTGGTGATGATGCCATTGTGGATTACAACAAACTCTGGTGGCGAGATTGAGATTAAAACATTTAGCTACCATGGCTACAGGTTTAAAAGACAGTCTGAGATGAGCAGTGAGATAAGACCGACGATACTGCAATGCTCAGTTTTGACTGACAGGCCAAGGGTGCTAATCATTCATTGAATAATATGCTTGTTGGTGCGGTTGTGGTTTGCAATGTTGTACAACCACTTTCATTTACCTGACTGAGCTACATGTCACCGGCATTATGTAGTTAAAAGAGTAATTCAAAACCAATTTAAAATGAGAGGTTACAACCTAATTATCCACCCAATTGTTGTTATATTGATTACCAAGTATGTTCCCTTAACTGGCTACCCCACCTATGCATTGTGGCACACTCCCGGTAAACACAACGCTCTAAATACAATCAAGAATGTGGTTGCACATATACACTATACAAGAACATTTTTTTTGGGGGGGGTTTCAGAATTTACCATTATCATCGTCAGAGCGATGAGGGTGGCTATTGAGCGCGCTCGGCTCTCCGTGTGTGGCCCAACGAGTGTGGGCGATGCCAAAGTGTGTACACAGTTCCTCTTCCAGGTCCAGGGAGTCCTTCTCTGGAGAACCCAACAAATAATACAATCTCTTTTACTGATATGGACGCAGTGTCAGTAGACCCACATAAGCAACCAGAGACAGGATGCCTCATCACCTGTAATAAATGATTTGAACTTACTGTGAAGCTCCTCATCCAACGCCTTGACCTTTCCTCTCTTTTTGATCAAACAGATGGTTTTGCCATTAATGCCAGAGGTTTCCTTGGTTTTTCCATCCACAGCAATGCCTGTGAACAAACAGTAGACAACATCAACATCAAATACTTTTAACAGGCCGTACGGCAAAGAACACCCAGGTTCAGCTTTGATAAGCAAGGGAGTAAACTTGTCACATCTCCAGCAAAGTAAATTATGAGGGCAGCTAAAAGGCATGGTCTATGATTGTACATAGTCATTAATTTCGTAATACGTACCTCACAATACTTCATAGAAAGTGACTGACTGGCTGAAAAAAAACATCCATCAAGGAGTGTTTATAGTACTTGCGGAACAGCTGTAAGACGACATCGGCTTCATCCTGTTCAAAGCGGATGAGCAAACATAAAGCACAAATTTGCAGTGCCGTGTGTTCCTTTGCATTTATTCATGAATTGACCATTGGTGATCATCATGAGCCAAATGACAAGAGGTTGGTGCTTTCAAATTCAAATTGTCAATCTCATATGTTCATGTATATTCATGCTAACTAGCTGCGAGGCAATCGCAGAGTTAAGTCGAAATGGTCACTGCTGAAGTTTTTGCATTGAATATTTGTGGATAAGGATAATTGAAAGACAGCAGCACTCCCAGGCCAAACGATATGAAATAACCTTGATTATGAATACCAGAGGGTTTTCCTCCAAAAAAGCCTTGTAGATTAGAGATGAAAGAAGGATCAAAAACAAATTCCACCATTCCAACTATTAAGGTCCTTTCATCTGCATATGCATTTTTAAACTGCAGGAGGAAGCGTGAGGAATGGAAGTGTTCATGCAACATCAAGGAGACCAGGTAATCTCCACATGGGAATCACAAATTGGAACTTGCAAATGATTTCTGATACCACCGACCCACAGTGTCAGCGTCTCGAAAACACCACTTTCTGACTGCTGGATGGCCACAGTCATCTGAACTCTTCCAAATTCCAGTTCAATGGTACCTTGAGCTACAAGCCTAATTCTTTCCATGAACATGCTCATAACTTAAAATACTCGCATCTCACATATTCTTGCTCCACTCGCCACCTAGGGATAGTGTAATACAGAGACACACGTGAATTGAGTAAGCTGCAATAATATTACATGTTCGTTGCAGAGTGTCAAGAATATATGCCTGTGAATATGATTATAGTATCAGTCTACATGTGTTGCTCCACCCTTTGTGTTCAAATATATATCACATATGCTATTTATTATTCTGTCCATGGCTTTCTGCATTCTTTGTCAGCATTTAGCCAAACGGTCATATTTAAATGCTAAGTGGTTGTTTTGCATGGACTACTTAACTGTAATTCTCGTTGTTTTACATTTAGTTTGACAGACACTAGGAGTGGCAAAGGAATTGCACCTATAAGGGCTATAATAGCTTGTCACTGCGGTGGAATCCTAAACATCTTTGGACCCTACGCTTAACTTTTGCATCTTGGCAACATACCTGTGCCGTTTTTACCCTGAAGAGTTGGTTACATTAGAATCTGACATAAAGTCTTTTGGGGTTAATCGATGTAGATTCCACATGGAGTTTGACTGCAAGTTTATGTCTATTTCAGATTAAATATCTATTTTCTATGGCCTAACTCTGTCACATAGGAGTATTGTAATTATTATTTGCTTATATATCGAAATACTTTACATCTTGTTCCTCTTGCTTTATATACATTGACCATGCCTTTTAGCTGCCCTCATAATTTACTTTGCTGGAGATGTGATAAAGTTACTCCCTTGCTATTATCAATGTGTATGTGTGTGTGCGTGTGTGCGAGTGTGTGTGTGTGTGTGTGTGTGTGTGTGTGTGTGTGTGTGTGTGTGTGTGTGCGTGCACGCACGCATTTATGCGTGCGTCCATGCATGCATGTGTGTGTGCGTGGCAGCCGTCTTACCTGCTGAATCGTAGCCTCTGTACTCGAGTCTCTGCAGTCCCTTCACCAATGTCTCAAATATCTCCTTCCTGGTGCGGGGCACTTGATGGTTTAGGTAAGCAAAAATCCCTTTCAGGAACAGAGAGAAGCAATGTTAAAAAGAACTGCTTAACTATTTTGGAGCTATACGTCAATAATCTAATGTCACATGGTAGAGCGAGCGGCGGGTGGAGCCTGGGATGCCAAAATGTCTCATAAATATTGATGAAATCACTGCAAAAAGAAAACTACATTATATTTTAATTGATAGTCTTATCAAAAGAAGCGCTGTTATGATTCACTTTTTACATAGGCCCCCAGAAGGATTTTATCTACCTCAGGAACCATAGAACAGTTTTTTTCAAACTCAACATTTTTTTTTTTTGTTGAATATTTCAACATCTATCCATTTTCAACACCACTTATCCTGAACAGGGTCAGTTGCTGCAGCCTATGCCAGTTGACCTCGGGTGGAAGGCAGACTACACCCTGAACTGGTCACCAATCAGTCGCAGGGCACATACAGAGACAAACGACCACTCACACCCACATGCACACCATCACTAAATGGGAACTGATCACGCGCTGCCCGCAAACGAGTCCTGCGTGTGCACCATGCAACCCTAAATAGACATTAATATTGAAAACCAATTTGGTGATCAATATTATTTACCACGCAGGAGTAAGCGAAACCTATTCAAACGGCTATATAATTAGTAACCGCAGATAGTTGTAACTTTCGAAAGGCCTGGAAGTGAAAATTGGATTTTTTTTTTTTTTTTTTGGTCAATGCAGTACACAGATGTGGAGGGCCCCATGACTGGGTAAGCCTTGGGCTACCAAATGACTACCTATGGCTTCGGCTACACATGCTTGTGCATGCATCTGAATGGGTGAATGCATAGAGGATTGTGAAGACATGTTTGGTGAATATCCACACTCACAAGACTCTTCACAACTTAATGAGATGTGATAAAAATGTAGAGCTGTATAACCCTTTACTAAGTAAAATGTATTGGATTTTTGTGGACAGTATTGACCAACACTATCAGAGGTGTTAATTATCTCTGTGCTGTTGTCTTTGAAAGGTAACAGGATTAAAACTTCCCTTGTTAGTATGACCTTTGGAGAGACCTCAACACAGATTCTAGGATTTTTTTTTTTTTCCTCTGGGAAACTGGGCCTTTTTTAACCTCTCATTCTCCGTGCACAACTGGCCGTCTGTCTAATAAAGGGGTGTCAAACTCTTTTTCATTGTGGGCCACATCGTAGTTGTGGTTTCCTTCAGACTAAAAACAACATATATGTGTAATCACCATCATCATAGTATGATACAGTATATACTGGAGACAATTTCCCCTGCGGTTGATTGTTGTTGTCTACAAATATACAGTATGTTTAGCAATACATTGAATTTTAAATCAAAGAAGAAAGAAAGGAAAAGAAAGAGGAAGAAAAAAGTGACAACGAAATTGTTGAGTAAAAAAATACATGGGTAAGGTATTAGGTGAAAATAAATGTGAATTTCCATGACAGATTTTCTTCTTCTGCAGCAAGAAAGATAAAGGAAGCACACTGTATTTACTTTCGTGAGCCAAATTAAATGAGGTCCAGACCTTGAATCCAGTCAAATGTGTTGGCTCACATGTGCTAAATGCAGTTAATTATTCAGAAAACCTTTCAGTACGGTGTAGGGCAATTCTCCACGACTACAAGTTACATCCACATAAACATTGGAAGAGTTACCTCTCTGAGGTATCAATCAAACCTGAACATTATTATCTTTGTGCGCTTTTATTCACTCTCCTTAGAACATTGTTGTCTGTGAGTATGTGCGTGTGTTATTGTATTTAAAACGATACAAACAATATTGACATACAGTATTACAAACAAAATATATCATATCCTCTTTTGGGGAACTACGTTTTAAAATATAAAATTGGCTGTGCTTCTCCATCAACAGGCCTTTGTCTATGCGTTCCTGCCAAGTTACGCCCCCCCTCCCACACACACACACACACACACACACACACACACACACACACACACACACACACACACACACACACACACACACAGATAGACACACGTATACATGCTGCCTATAGGGAAAGTAGACATAGTAAGTAGTGTTCAAGCAGCCAGTTAAGCAGGTTGTGGAGAAGGTTGAGGGGGGGTAAAAAATTGGTTAACGATTGACTTTAGGTTGTAAACGTCGTGCCGCTGAGTTATTACACTAGAGATTGTCATAATCCGGACCACTTCATCGCTTTGCAAAGTATTCCCAAATCACGAAACAATATTCACGTAGCTCTATAATGCATCTGCAGCGAGGCTTGTTAAAACTGGAGTAAGTAGCCTGGTGGTGGCGGGGGGGAACACAAGACACGTTGCAGCTCAGAGTAGTTACAGAGCCAGAAAAAAAAAATACAGTAAATTAAGGTCTCAACGTTAACAGGGCTTCTTTGATCTGAAACGTCTTGGCAATACAGACACAGAATTGAATACACATCCACAAGTCAATGTAAGCCCCTCAACTGTAAATTGTGATTTGTGCGTGTAAAGCGCTACAACTCCAAGAACACGTAGAATAAAATGAAGTCAGAGGAAAAAATGCAACACTTACCGCACATGGCTCGAGCCTTGAAAAGTGGGTTTGTAGGGAAAAAAATGGAGGTTTATTTTCAGTGGGAGTAGGATGATGATGCTTCTCTCGCTCTAAGTATGCGCACGGTAAACTGGCAGTGAGCATTTAAACGGTGTTTCCTGGTGAGGCAGCGGGCGTCCCCACCCCTATTGACGCCTCCCAAGTCCTCTCGAATCCACATCTGTCACATCACGCGACACACGTAGGCCAACTTGTGTAGACAGCAATCACGGAATATCAACTCAGTTTGAACTGCTCAACATCTCACTACT